GTTTTAAGGAATCCTGAGTCAATCCAAGCACGCTGCCTCAAATTGCCTATCCTCTTTGTGGCGGCCATATTTACGGAAACATATTTAAACTCCATGTTTAGGCTGATGGCTTTGCCAAAGCCTTAATAAATAATAGTAATAATAGTAATACTATATTGAATTATCGATGATTATGGTACAACACTAAAGAAAACCGCCATTTGTGGTGGACATTTTTGGTTTAGGTTAGGTTAGGTTAGTAGTCCGTAGATAGGGCAGCTCCTTTCCTTAATTTTTTTCCATTCTCTAAGCCAGTTGATTTTTTTTCCATATTCTAAGGCCAGATGTCTATGAATTAAAAAAAAATACGGTAGCTAGAGATGCGTGAGAAAAGTTTTTATTTGCCGCCATTTAGTTTGTTTTGTTTTCTATCATATCACAGCTTAGAGGGTGGAAAAAAATAGTCTAAGTATCACAGAGAGCTTCTAATATGTGTATAGATAAATCAGTGTATGTAACTCATTGACATGTAACTGTACATAATGAGGCATTAAAACACTCGTGTGATGTTTTTATGAAACTCGCCTGTCGCCTTGTTTTAATGCCTTTATTATGTAACGGTCACCTAAACTACTAATTTTTCATTGCCGAAAAACAGAGGAAGGTAAGTGTTAATCCTGTGTTTTTATTATAATTTGCAGGATTAATTTTTAATTTCTTTATTTTCGATTTCTTTGTGCCATCAATTCCTAAGAATTTATTGGTTGGTTGGTTGTGATCAACGAATTTTGCGATATTTAAATATTAAAAAATCACGCCTAATGTAAGAAAATACGTAAATGTACTAATTTTCAATTATTTTATGTAATCGAATTTCAAACAAACGGTTTTTGAATCATTTCTTTCAGCATTCTACTTTGTTTTTATTGTACCTACCTACCCATTTTTTTATTATCGATGCCTAACCTAGGTAAGGACATTTTTATTCGTGGATTTTTTATGATATCAAGACTACTAATTTATTGGGTCAAAATGCCACACAACCACGTCAATAACCTGGTCTTAAACTAAAGAATTCCCTGTACTATGACTACTAGACTAAATAAATTCATTTGGGGGCACAAAGGGTATGTGTTATACCAGCAATATATAACACCAGACCAGAATACATTTAGTACATTTCATTTGGAAAATTAGTCCAACCGGGAATCAAACCGTCGAACTCCAGTTGAGAGACAACCGTTCTCCCATCTCTTTACTAAATAAATTTTATTTATTTATTTATTTTGGCACAGTTACAAGATACAAATTATATAATACAAGTAAAACTATGACACTAATCAGAAACAAAGAAATTTGTAGCTCAATAACACATGCATGCAAATAACATTTTGCAACTTAATGAATATGGCTAAGTCAATAGAAAAAGTGTGTATACCTACTTTAAATAAAATTACTTCACTTTGCGATGTGTTCACGTGCCTCTTTACAGTCAGGGCTTTTTATAATTTTTACAAATGTGTTGGTGCTCTGGTGGAATATATCAAGACCTTTATTTACATAAAGCATTATACTGCCTGCATAGATAAACGTATCAGAGGGCTGTTATTTTTAGCAGAAGGCACCAAGAACAAATGTTGCCTACGGTTTGACGTATTAGTGACCTTTAGCGACACATGGCTTATGATATCAGTATCTAATTTGGAATTTACTATTTTGTGCAACATCAGGAGGTCAGTTATTTGCCGTCTCACGCAAAGCGAATCTAGTTTGAACTGGTTAAGCCTATCTGCATATATTACAATTTTTTTTCTTAATCTCTATTTTGAAGCAAGACTACGAACAAAGCGATTCTGTATCGTCTCTATCCTGTTGATATCATTGTTATAAATAGGTGACCATATTATGCTGCAGTACTCTAGTATACTTCTCACAAGACCCCTGATATTTCACTACTATGATTGATATTTCAAAGTCTCAACCCTTACGCAGTCGGTTTCGCACGACTGCACACGGCGAGTAACCTTGTTTTCATATCTGTGAGTGCGTGCTTATGCACGAGTCGTTCACTTGCGTTTTTCGCTTGCTTGCGTTGGTTGGGTACCTACACAGCGTAGAAATCTGCCTTCCGCGCAAAGCTGCTCACGAGTCTTCCGCTTTGCGTTGCGGAACGATTTGCGCGCTTGCGCAGCGCCTTGTCTTTGTTTGGGTTGTCGACACTCTCGAGCCGGCTACTGCTCTGTGATTGGCCAGTGGTGCTGTCCTCCGCAAACGTTCCTTGTTGCTTGCGTGGAAATATCAAGCTTGCTAGATATCAAACTCACGCAACGCTAAGACTCCAACGAATCCAACGTAAAG